TATATATTATATATATACACAAAGGTAAGCAGTTGTAGCCTGTGGGGTTAGGTAACGCTGAATCCTGGAAGAAAGTGAATCGCTGCATTTGTGTGAGGTACAGCAGGCAAACCCCACAGCATTTTGATAATTAAATTGAGTTACCTAATTTTTGGCATTAAATTGGTCTTAATTTAGTCAGTTAAGCTGGTGCATCAGTTCTAGATCACTACCATCCGTGGTATCCCAACACATCCACTATTGCTTTTATTGACTAAAACCCTTGGTTTTGAGTATGTCAGTTTAAAGGGTGAAAAGATGATAACAAATTGAGTTACCCAAACTCTGAAAAAGCCAAAAGCCCTGCTGCAAATTACTGAGCATGTGAATAAGGACATTTGCCTTGAACATAGATGTCTGTGAATAGATTTAAAGCACAGACATGATGGAAGCAACAATTCATGTTTCTTTTTTTTTCCTGTATGTGCTGAAGGTTTGGTCAGAATTCAGAGGCCTTTTACTTTCTACAAAGAGCATTTCATACCATGCCCCCCCTCTGCCAGCATTTGTTCTGTGCTCATTTTTTGTTCAATATGAAATAATTCACATTTTGACCACCAGAACTGCTTTGCCCTCTGCGTGTGCCTGTTGCCCCCCAGACGCAGTGTGCCACGTGGGCTCTCAAAAAGATGTGGAACGTAATTTCTTGATTAATTGCCATGCATCAGCTCCAAGTTACATACAACTTTGGTAGTTAACCTTGTAACCTCCCAAAAGTGGTTCTTTGCTAAACTTTCCAAACATGTCTGTCTGTGATAAATCATTCGGCGTTTGCTAAGAGGATAAGAGTTTTGGCATCGGCTCTGCACCTCTAGCACACGTGGATGAGAACAGCAAGTTGCTGCAAGCTATCAGAATCAGCTTTCTGATTTGGGGTGGGTGCTGAGACAGGGTTTTCAAGAGTGCTTCCATGCAAATGCTTTTGTCTTCATAAGAATATCTAAGGAAGGTAATTCAGAAGACTAAATTTCCCCCTCCTGAGACACTTGTCCCCTCTGAATTGGAAGAGCTCCAGAAGACAACTGGCCTTGCCAAGCTCTGGCACTGGGTGGGCTTTCTGCAGCTGAGCACCCTGCACCGCCTCCTCTTCCCTTACCAAAGGTGGTCTCTTATAGATGGAAAAGCAAATCTAGAACCCTCCAAACTCATATAAAATCGGGCTAGAGCTTGTGAATAAAGCTACGCCTTCAGCAGCGTCACTAAAAAAATCTGAATTTGTAAGGCTTCTGGGAAGCGAGGACACTGGTTCCTGTTTCAGATGGAGAAGATGGGAGGAAAGCAGATAAAAATGTTGCTGACATCAATGCATTACATTTTAAACACCTGTGTCCTGGTTTCGGCTGGGATAGAGTTAATTTCTTCCTAGTAGCTGGTAGAGTGCTGTGGTTTGGGTTTAGGATGAGACTAATGTTGATAGCACACTGATGTTTGGTTGTTGCTGAGCAGTGCTTACACTAAGCCAAGGACTTTTCAGCTTCTCACACTGCCCTGCCAGTGAGGAGGCTGGGGTCGCACAAGAAGCTGGGAGGGGACACAGCCAGGACAGCTGACCCAAAGTGACCAAAGGGATATCCCATACCGTACGACATCATGCTGAGCAATAAAACCAGGGAGAGTTGGCCAGGGGATGGCGGCCGCTGCCCGGGGACTGGCTGGGCATCGGTCAGCAGGTGGTGAGCAATTGCATTGTGCATCACTTGTTTTGTATATTCTTTTATCTTTATTATTATTTTCCCTTCCTTTTCTGTCCTATCAAACTGCCTTTATCTCAACCCATGAGTTTTTCCTTTTTTCCAACTCTCTTCCCCATCCCACTGCGGCGGGGGGAGCAAGCGAATGAACGAGCTGCCTGCCAGGTTAAACCACAACAACCTGACACTATGTTTTTGCCACCTTGTTCGGTGCATAAGGCGTCTAGCCTGACCTTGAAGCAGCCATGTAATGTTAATGAGAGGTGCACACAGATAGAGAAGACCAGAGCACTTACCGCTAAAGATATTCACTGTAAAAATTACAGAGCTGAGTTACACCTGTGCGAATCGCAGAGCCGCAGCAGCCTCATCTCCGCTGCTGAAGCATACGTCTGGAATAATTCCAGTGAAATACCAGAATCAAAATGCACATATGCAAAATGTATGCAGCTTATCTTCAATTAATTAAAACTGATTCTGAGCAGTGTATCTGGAAAAATCACAAACAAAAACCTCCCTATCCTGCTAAATGTCTCCTCATTTTCCTGTATCTCTGAGGAAGGACTCAACCTACAACAACAACAAAAAAAATATCCCCTAACTATTTCTAGAAACATTTCATACTATGCCAGTTGGCCAACATACTTAAATAACCAACCAACCAACATATTTATTTAACATTCAGCAGATGGACATGATATGAACATCGTGGTTTTCAGTCGTAGTTTTATAACTACTAGATTTCTTTCAATGCCAAGATTCAAACAGGTTCAGAAGGTAAACACATCTCCGTCTCATAACTTCTGGCCTAGCACGCATTAACTTTCAATGGCATTTAAACGCATCTTGCGATGACCCTTCCAGGTGCTCTCAGGGTTGCTTTCCAACATTTGTTCCCACTTCAGGACCGATATTGCCCTCAAACGTGATCCCCACATGGGTCTCAGTGGGCTTGGCAGGCCAGCCAAGGAGGTGCAGCCCCAAGTTGGAGCTGGGATGGATGCTGTGGTGGAAAGTCATCGCCTCCCAGCTCAGCAGAGCTGTGCCAGGGCCTGATGGAGAAGCCACGAAATGCCTCTCCTTAAGCAGCGGAGAGCATTTCTGGGCTGCAAGAGCGAGGTGGGGAGCAGTGTGCCAAACCAGCAGACCCCCAGCTGGTGCCAGTTTCCAGGGCTTCATAACTTTCTCTAGGGTGGAATACCTTCCAGTAAATTTTTCTTTGTGACAATGATGTGCATGGTGACAGCCCAAGACCAGAGCCCCACTGTGCAGGGCAGAGCATGAAAGTCTGGTGCATTTGAAATTGAGAGCTCTGCATTCTTTTCAAAACTCTGTTTCTTTGGGAGATTTTGTAACTCTACAAAGCCAAGGCAGTGGGATGGTGCCTGTATTTAAGCATAAGTAAAACAGCTGGGAAAGACACTGAAAAAAAGATTAACAACAACATTATAAATGCATTTTTGAAGAAACATTTAAAGTTACTGTGCAATAAACTGAGCAGAATGTCACAGAATGTCAAACTGGGCACAGTAAAAATAAATGTTATTCCCAAGGAAAATAAAAAGATTGCATATTTATGTAACATTCAGCAGATGGACATGATATTAATACAGTGGTTTTCAGTTGTACTTTTATAGCTACTAGATTTTCTTGCCTAACTTGGCAACCCAAGGCACCATTTGATTTTTGGATTTGGACAATACTGCAACAGATGTCCAGACCAATAAAATAAATTCCTAAAGGGCTATGCTTAATTTGTGTAATTGATCAATTTTTGTTACATGGGCTTCAGTTCACCAGCATGTAACTGCCTTCCAGATTAGCTCAGCAGTAGGGATTTCATTCCATATGTTACAATGGTTTATTGGCGCTTTTGACGACACTGCTGATTCAGCAGCGTTGCTGGAGACACCTGTTGGCAACGATAATGAAATAAAACCCGCGAGTACCGGGGCAAATAATGGCACAAAAGCTTTCGAGTGGCTTGTAAACATCATGGGGGCACAGCTTCTCGCACTCAAATACGTTCGCCTGGAATTACTGGGGACGGCCCCAGCACCTCTCCCATGCCACCAGGGCATCGGAGTTAGAGAAGGGGACTCCGCCTCTTCTATAAAAAGTAATAAGTGCTCTAAAACATAAAGGACAGATAAATGTTGAAAAATGATATCAATAAAAATTTTGTAGTACATTTCCTCTAATACAAAATGTCAGTGATTTACTCCTTCCCAATACAGGTTTAATTGATTCAAATAGCATTGGTAGTAATTAAAATATGGATTCTGAAGCACAACTGTTAGCTCTCATCACTCACCTATTAAACTTGCCATAGATGCTGTGTTAATTATCTTCCCATATCCTTGATTCAGCATAATGCGGCCTGCAGCCTGTGACAGAAATTAAAGGAAAGACCAGTGACCCTTTTTGTGATTGTGCTAATAATGACATGATAATAAATTAGTCTTCACTTTTCAGAAGAGTTTATGTGCCAACGCTTTTTTTTTTTTTAAGCACTTGATATAAAAACTTGGTAGAAAAATGGCTGATGCAGGAAAAAAATCCCATTGCCATTTCAAACCCTCTTCACTGTTGGCAATATTTTTTCAAAATAATCACTAATGTTGGGAATGGTCCTCCAAAGCTTTCCAGTTTTCAGGATGTGTCAAATAACCAGCCTTCAAAAAATTTGGCTGTTCTTAAATGTCTGGGCTTGGGCAGCCAGTAAGTATCAGCTGCTTTTGAAAATATTGACCAAAATTTGTAACTGTTACAAAGCAAATCTCTCCTTAACTCCACCAAAGCTAGGACCAAATTTATTATGACAATTAGTAATAAAGTGTTATTAAATCTTCGTAAAGTAAATGCTTGGAAAATTATTACCCATATGCAAAACAAACCAGTACAGCATTTCACACTTACTTGGCAGCACAAAAATAATCCTCGTAAATTAACATTAAAAGTTTTGTCCCATTCTTCTAAGGAAGTATCTTCACTTGCAGAGTTCATATTGATTCCCGCATTGTTGCACGCTATGTGAAGGGTGCCCCAGCGAGCTACGATTGTGTCCACAACCCTTTGCACATCCTCGGGTTTGCTTACATCTGCTGCGAGGGCAATGCTTTTAATCCCTGCATTAAAACAGGAGTGATGAAGTCAGTACCGGAATTCACAAAGAGAAAAAAAAAAAAATCTATTTTATGATTATTTATCAATTCATATGTATAGGTATTTTATATATACATGCACCACCTCAATTCATTGCTCCAGAAATTGTAGCAAAATGTGTTTGTTATTGTAATCCTGTTGTTTTAAAGTTGCTAACTGGTGTGAAGTTTGGTTGTGGGAGGCAAAGCTAAAAGGGAGGGAGAAGAGAGGAGCAGATCCGCCACTCCAGCAGCAGAAGCTTTGAACACTGCACCATCTTCTGTCCAAACCCCCAACTGCAGCTTCCCCCACCGGGAGAGCATCACTCGTGGGGTGGATGCTCAACAGCTCGGGAAGAAGAGAAAGCAAAGGACTCTTCTATTTGCTCAAATGGAGAATTTTTTTTTATGCCCTTTTCCCCCAGGATGTTGCAGAAATCAAACTAATTTATCCCCCCAAAAAGTGTTCTCTGGATGAACTACAGCATCCAAGCAGCTGGAAGCTTCAGACAAAATCAAACCAGTTTTAGGTGGGAATACCTGCAGGTTCACAGGTATGGTAGTCAAAGTGCCCGGCCCTATTTATCGCAAATCACACTACCAGAATAACACAAACATTCAGCAGTTAAGAGATTTACTGGATTTGAAACATGCAAAAGTTGTGCTTTTTCTCCTAGAAAAATGCAGGCATAGACTTTTGCACCAGTGCTGATCCATAAATAGCTTCATTCAACCTACTATCAAAATCAGCTTTAAATACCCTTATTAGTAAACAAAATAAGCAACCTACTGAGGCATCTGATGCCAATGGGATTATACCCACCCTGAAAGTCAAACAAGGCTACACCAGTAAGGGCTGTGGTGAAATGGGTCTTAACTCACAAGCAGGGAGGCAGCCACTGGGGTTGGACCATAGATCGGCAGTTTGCAAGCAAAGAGTGCACAGGTAGGAAGCTATAGCTGTTACAGCAAGATTTTTTTTTTTTACTTCTATTTAAACAGAAAATTTATTGCTTATTAGGTCCTCTTTTAGATCATTCTAATAAAAAAAAAAAATAATTAAAAGAAGCCTTAAACCTATCCTAGGATAATAGGAGAAGACTCTTCCAAAATGAAGCTTTGAGATGGAGGCTCCCATGAAAGCAAGGCAAAGCAATAATTGCCCAGTGATGTTTGAAGAAAACGACAAGAAAAAGGCTTTTGGATGGAAAAGCTCCTCTTGATCTCTAATGCCTCCAGAGGCCCACCAGAGCAGACACCCCGAGGTGATGCTGGTCTGGGGTGCTCCCCATGCCAGGCCATGGAAGATAACGTCCCCTCTGGCCTTCAGCTATACTAACGGTCCTCTTGCTTTCCACAGCAGAGAAAAGGGCAGACCCATGATACAGCCACCTACAAAAATGAATGCACATTCTGCCACAAAAGAAGAGCTCTTATTTTATCACAGGTTTTATGCTAAATATGCTGGAAGAATAAGAATAACCAGACAACCCCGGTTGCTCCTCCTAATCGTTATCAAGACATGTAACATACCAGGAGCTGCTGCAATCTTTCTTATTCAATTTACAGACAAAATGGGTGCAAGCGTGTTACTAATGGTAACAGAATGAGGCTCTTCACCTGCCCTCCAACTCTCACCCCATTTAGGGCTTCATCGTATATGATAGTTCATAGAAACAAGACAAAAGGTGCCACGCGTGACTGTCTAGCGAAGAAGCAGGGAAGGTACGCTCACTTCAAACTAGAGTCCCACACTTGACCTTAATCAATTCAGCTGATATCCCTGCACTCTGAGAGAGGGAAAAAACCCCACTTTCTGTCTCTCCACTGTCCCGTCCCCCCCCCCAAACCATTTGTTAAAAATAATAAATAAAATAAACTGTGGAAAAACAGTTTAAAAGCTGTAGTCCCAACCAGATAAAAGAAACTCAACACATGACCACGCTGCAACATGCATGACATTGCCAGGGCATCTCTACAGTCCTCAGGCAAGTTTTGGGATGCTCGTGGAGGCAGTTTTGTGGTGAGAGGGGCAGGAGAGGAGTCCAGTGGCTCCACGCTGGAGAGACATCAAATGTGCTGAATCTGCACGAGGTGCCCTTCTGCAGGGGACATGTACACGGCCTCCCTGTCACGGGCTTCGTCTCTGGTCTCTCAGTATAAATGGAAGTAATACATTGCATATAGACAAGAAGATCAGAAGTGACATTGTGGGGAAGGCATTTGCATAGTTTACATAGAAAATGCACATTTTAAAAATCCCATCAGACTAATTTGTCCCTTAAGGTACAGGCAGTGATTTCCCCTGAAGACAGAGGGGTATGTAGTGGAAGGTAACCCTTAGGATTTTTTGGTTATGTTTCATCATTTTTGGTTCTTCTGTCAGGATCCATTAGCAACTGTTGAAAAAGGTATTCACGCAGGATCTAAAAACAAAGATCCTTGTAGCCAAGGGACATCCATCCGAGCTGTCTAACAAAGCTAAAACTGAGATCACAAAGGTTCTGATGTTCAAAACTCATCGTGAAATGATGGCACCATCCCAAAAGGCAGTAAAGGGCTCCTTGGTATAAGAAGCCAAGCGGATTCAAGAAAGCTAAGCAAAAGGTTTTGAAAAAGTATCAGTATGAGAATGACTTGGGGCACTATGTTTCCAACTTTGAGTTAGAGATCCACAACCAAAG